TCTTCTTTCCTTTTTTATAGGTGTGTTAGCAAAACTGGGCAGGAAACGTGAGTATAATCCCATACAAATCACAACAAGACTACCTTTTATTTTCCTTGTAACATTTTTAACCTCTCATCCTTTCTGCCTTCATATCTTTCTTTCATCAGGAAATAATAATAATAAAGGTGAGATGTTTGTCGGACTCATGGGCAGAAGTTTAGGAGAAGGTAATTTATTTTGTCCTAACTGAAAAACCTTTCACTGTGTTATTCAAAGTAAAGCAAATGCCACATGGTGTGTCATAATTATATGATTTGAAGGCATTATTATGAGATTCAATATCATAATTTAAACTTTGAAAGTTTCCGGTTAATATTTATGAGACTCAAATGATTATGAAATTTAAAGTATCTAATAATTATGACTTTATAGCTTAGAATTATATTTATATATGTATTTATTTTATTGTTTTTAATACTTTTTTAAGGCTGCACTTCTAAAAAAGATGAAATTGTCCAGAGAGCTGTTCCAAACGAAATTTTTCTTTGTTTTACACTTGTGTAAATAAAAGGACAAATAAAATCTAAGTCTAATTACTTCATATCATGTAATGATGACACTGTGTTCCCTTTTTTTTAACTTTTAATGGGATTCAATCGTTAACATTGGTTCAGGGTTGAGGATAATATTATTACTCAGCTGTTTTGTTTTTGTTTTTCCAGACCTTGATGAAGACTGGACTCCTGACTCTTTCTGAAGAGAACAACTTTAAGCAAGATTCAAAACATGATCCAAGCTTTACTTTAACGTTTTCTATTCAGTACCTCAGCAGATCAGAAACATATGGTGACTTACTTCAACAAAGAAACACTTGCAATCAAACAATGCAGGATTTTCCTCAAATTATTGCCATGGAACCAAATATATGCTATATGTTGTAATAAATTCATTTAAATTAAGTTATTTAATCGTTATTTTAGGTCTCTAACATATCTGCCATTTGAGATTTCCCACAGTATGAACAATGCTGAAGTATAAAGGTGCAACATCAGGGCAAATTTCTTTATCATATGTAATTGTATTATTGTTAGAAAAAAAAAACAAGTTCAAGTTGTTTCATAACAAATCAATGCACCAGTTATTGTATTATTGCAGATTAAATAATAAAGGTTGGTTTTGCCACATTGTTTTTTTTTTTTCTTTTCACCTTTCCAGAATATAAAAACAGTAGAAAATGGACAAACTTAAACTGAGGAAATACTGGATTTTGGTAGTTAAAAAAAACAACTGATTGATGATAATTACAACCAAAAGTGTTTTATAGCAGTTTTCTGGGGCAGACCAACAGAAAGTAAAGCAGGTCTCTGAAGGGGAAAGGAAATGATTCCTCCATCCATTGTCTATACCTGCCTCTTTTTGGGAAGGATAGTCGTAGGGGAATCATATTCAAATGTCTAATTATTCTGGCTTAAACGTGTATATAAATGTACTCTTTTATCAGAGCATATTGTTCCAAAATGTAGAAAATTTCTATTTTAAAAAAAAATCCTGTCTTTAAATCTGTGGGTTTTTTTTTCATTATCTAATGCTGGTCAGTTAGTTATACGTCAGCCTGAACACCTAAATTCAACCAATCAAATATCAACGGTCATCTGTCAATCAAATTTTTTCGGTCATAGCATCTTTATTCATATGTCGCAGCTAATATACGCAACGGTTGAAGTAAGAATCATTTACTTCACCATTGAGTTCCATCCCAGTGTTCAAGGGGATGGATGTCTGTGTCTTCAGCAGGCGTAGAATCAGGGGTGGAGCTAGATGGGGGGCCCATTTTTTCCCTCTAATACAGACGGTGGCAGCAGTAATACACTCAAGTGGAATATTCCAAAACATTTTAATTTTTCATATATTAACAATTACTTAACAACAATAAGACTGTGGTTAATTATGCACATTAAAATCCTAACATTAAAGATGATAATTCAGGCTCTTTTCAGAACTAGATTTTGTGTTTTATGGGGTAAAGAGAAAATGATGTGTCTCTGAAAGCCATTTAGGAGTCTTCAGTGAAATCATAGATAAATAACCATTTTAAGAAAAAAATTATAAGCAATTTATGTAGATATTGGTACTTGTAAATATCCATTTTGCAGAATAATTGTTGATAAAAGTAGGTAAGTAATGACACAGGAAGAGATGTTTTCCCCAGCTTTATTCACTATACCTTTTATCTAGAAAGCACGGATGTTTAAATATATATGCGTCTATTTGTTAGCAAAGCTTGTAGGAAAGTATAGTTTGTCTTTACTTAGGAAATATTGATGTTGTGCTCATTACTTTTCCTGTTGGAACAGTGTAAATTCACCTTGATGTTCTGGCGCCTATCCATTTTCGGCCCCCCCTCAGTGTACACTGGTTATTGCCTGGCCACCCTTATAAAACTTTTCTAGCTACGCCTCTGCATAGAGCTAACAGAACTGGCAGCGTTGCGAGGCAAGGGCTCAACATGTACGGCTGGAAGCCTTCTACACCAAACCAAGCTTCCGCCGCCCTGGCGTCCTCTTCCACAACATCTTCATCCCCGCTTTCCTCTAAATAAAAAATGCATGATGGAGGAGACTCATCCATGACCTCCGACACAAAACTCTCCTCCTCTTACATGTTTCCTCTGTCCATAGCGTTCCTTGACAGTGTTGTTTCTAAATCACCAATTTAGTGCTACTTGGTCTCAGTGGATTTAAGCCTTGACTCTGACTGGGCCATCATCTACGTAATGATGCTACGATTTAAACCGTTCCAAGTCCTTTGCAGCCTTCCAACAGGTTTCTTCTCATCAACTGTAACCAGTTTCCATATTCCTGCAAAAAAAAAAAATTGCATCCCCACAGCATGCTGCTGCCACTCTTATGCTCCACCGTATTGAGAGACTGGTTAAGATGATTTGCAGCTCTAATACATTTCCAATAGAATGCTAAGTTATGTGACAAAATGCAAGAGTTCATGCTTTTTTCAACAATCAACCACAGTGAGCTAAAGTTTTTTTTTTTTTCAATTTCAAGGCTACTATGAAATGACAAAAATTGCATCAATTCATTAAAATGTAAATGTGGGGGGAAAAGTTTTGAGGAAACATAGCCTACATTTCCCAGTTTTTGTGCAAACATAAGTAGTCTAATAGAGTGACCTTTAGTTTCATCGTGTTGCAAAGTAAGAAATCTGAGAAATAAACACATCAGGCCTTCTGATTTACTGATCGCATTTATTTGGTGGGGGAGGAAGGGGGCAAAGCAAGTGCAAAAGCAAGACTGAGCTACATTATGATGCCACTTTTTGCTACTTTTCTGTTTTGTGAAGGATTTATTAGCAGAACTACCACAGCTTGGTGCCGACCAATGGAAGGTTTACTTAGTGACTTATAGGAGTTTATATATAGATATATATAGGTAGGCAAAAACCGGTAACATGTTTGGAAGCTGTCCCTCTATAGCTGCCATTGGCACAAATATCCAACATATTTATAACCCCAAACAAGACATGTGAAGTAAAAACATAAAAATGAATATTCTAACATCAAGGCAAACAAAAAGATTCACTGTGCTTGGACCTTTTTTTTTTTACCATAGTTGCAACAGGCTGAGACGCTAAACACTGAGCTATTTTTGACAATGTGGTTTGGAGCCCATCTAGTCAACAACAAACTTATTTCTAATCTATTTTCTGAAAAGAGAAGAATAATTTGTTCTGGCTGAAATAAGATATACTAAGATGTCTAGATAGTAATTTTCCCCAAGTTTTGGAGATAGAGAAAATTTTCAGTCCATGTTTTTGTGTAAAAGAGAAGCATTAAAGCGCAGTTAGCCACGAGAAAACCCAGACACACTGGAAAAAAATTGAAATTTAGATAGGCTATGTAATTTTTCTTAAAATAATTGCATTTAGATTGAGGAGGAAAGAGACATTTTGCCAATAGAATAAGATACTTTACACTTAAAAATAAGTCAACACAATTGCATTGTCTTATTTCAAGTGCATATTATCAAATTATCTTATTTTAAGAGTAAAAATACTCATTTCTTTGACAAACTACCTCATTTACCTACTCAAATTAAGGGTAAATACACTTAATTTAAGAAATTCCAGTGAGACAATCAAACTAATTAAGTGCACTTTGCCATTATCTGTCTCTAAAGGTTGGCATGCAAAAAACAAAAAAACAAAAAACATTTGCCTGTTATCTTTTTTTTTTTTAAGCAAATAAAGAAAACTCAGAGAATATCTTCAACTTGACATATTTTAGAGAACAAACACACCACACTTGAAAAATGTATAACAAAACTACAGTCTGGCAGCGAAAACATTTCTGCAGTGACATTAAAAGTCCAGAAAAATAAAAAAATAAAATGGCTTCATGAAAACATGGAGAAAAAAAAAAAGTTTTGGGATAAGACACTTGTCTTTGTGTAGGAAGTTATTGGTTTTCTTAGCAAACAGAGCTAAAGTAGCAGTCACCTATTATTAGCCAAAGTACAAAGCTAAATACAGAGCTTAGCTAAACACAAAGCTAAATTATGCTAAGAGAGCTGTCAGCTAAGCTAGCAGTTGGTTAGCTGTGATAAACAACCAGTGGTTTTCCCAGTAAGAAGCTAAGGAAGGAAAGCTTAGCCTGCTAGCAAGGGGGTAGCTAGCATGAGAGCTAAGCTAAACAATCACTCAATTTGATCAAATTGCACCAAAATATTATTTTTTTTGAACAGTCAGTGGGCCAATTGTGTTCATTTAAAATAAAAATCCATCTAATTTCATTAAACTAGCTTTATGATGTGGAAAAATAACATGTTTTGAGCCTCTGAAATGCAAAAGATTTCCGTCACTACTCGGTGGCTTGGATGACCGACAATTCTCCTTATTTGAAACACATTCAGATCTATGTAGAGGTCTTACATAAATATATTTACAAGGAAGCCAGTCCAGCTAAATAAACATCCCTTTATGCTGTACACTGTTAACATACTTTTTTGCAATGAATATAAATACCACACAAGAAAAAAATGTGAATAAAAATGAGATTAAACCAATATAAGGAGGAAAACATCAGCTGGGTAAACAACTACAAATTTCCAAGTCAACACTGAGTAAAAAGAAAACAATACAATAACTGTTAGACAGTAGTAAAACCTCAGAGGTAGAAAAAGTATAAATCTGAACTGAGAACTTTAAAAAGTAAAGAATGCAGAACATGTGTGTAGTTGTCTACACTTCAATCATCAAAAGTGATGCAAAACAAACAAACAAAAAACAGGCAAAAGGTGATCAGATCACATCCAGGTAAATTCCTTAACTTACAGCAGAGAAATTTAAACTCGGCCTGTGAAGCGAGAGCTTCCTGGCAAACTGACTGCAGAGACATCAAATTAAACAGAAAACACCAAACAGCTTTGGAAGTGCGGAGAAAAGCCAAAGGGTTCAAACAGCCATTTTAAAGTTATTTCTTCCATCTTAGCAGGATGTTAAGTTATAACAATCAACTACTAAAATTAAGTGGTAGGTAGGGAATGTTTACTCCCATTTTTTCTTCAATATATAATAAAGGGATTTGTTTAATTCAAATCTTGAACTTTCTTTCATTATTTATAAGTAAGTAATAAATTATTTAGTTCCAGACAAGTCCACATTTTCAATGCGGGACTTATTTAACAAAATGAACATTTTAAGGGTGTGTCCTTCTAATTCACATCCAGGCCAGCTGGTTTGCATCAGACAGGACATGTGTTCATAGGTCAACGTCTTGCTGACTGGTGTTACATCTGGTCAACAGAGCGTGAGGCAAATGCAGCTCAATGCTGCCCGTCACTGATTGGATTAGCAGGTGTGCCTGCCGTTACTAATGAAGTGAGGGGCGGAAAAGTGGACGAGCAGCGCTCCATTATTTTCACTTTTCAGAAAACGAATGGGGTCAACGAGATCTAAGACCGGGCTAACGCTTCACTGCAGGTCCTTCAACTGGTGATTCACCCAGCCAACATGCAAACACTGTAAAAATTATCAATACTCTACTATATTTTCAAATTTGATTAAACGTACAATAAATGATGAGATGCTGTGGGTATTATTTCCTTCAACAGACCGGAAAGCTGGTGAGGGTGAAGGAAAAGAAGGGCAGAGATAAAGACAAGGCAGCCATTGAGGAGAACCTGTTAGAAGCTGCATAAGCCTTTAGGCGAAGGAGATCTGACTGACGTCTCTTCTGATAGTGTCAAATAGGTCAAAGTTAGCGGGCACGAATGCTTTTCTAAGCTCTGAAACGACAGTGAACTCAAATAACAAATGGAAATTCCCAAACTCTGAACTCTTCTCCCAACGTTTAACGTGTGGTTTTTATAGAACAAACAAAAGAGTGAAACTTTACAAACCCTGTTTTAAAAGCTTGGAAGCTAAAGATTGTTTTTGCGTATATTAATTATTGAATAAGCCCTAAATTTAACAGCCTAGTCCAATCAGATTGTTTTTTATGTCAGTTAGCTTATATTGGTACCATATAATAGTGGGCAATCCTATAATAATATTAAATTTAGATGGTGGCATATTTGTTTTGACGTAAATCAACCTGGAAACCGTTTGAACCCAGAAAAATAGTTAGACTGGATTAGGATTTGATTCAAGTGCAGCTGTGAGGATTTAGACTGAGGGTCAGTGAGCATGCCAGTGTACGAAGGAGGATCCGTTTCTATGCGGAGAGAGAAGGAAGCTCCTTTACGTCCCTTTGGGTGGGGTCCATTTTAAGGCTGCGGGGTCGATGGTTCTTCCATTTCCCCGTTTGGTCTCCTTTGCCTTCCAGTCATCAATAAGATCCTACAGGAAAGGAAAACATAAAGAAAATGGAAAATCAGTGACCAGATGGGCAAATAAAGGGTAACCTAAGGAGAAACAGGCCATGTTCTTCACCTGTCTCTTTAAAACCAGGTGCTTTCCTTTCCAGTATTTGAGCATCTGAAGGGACTGCAGTGTGCTGACGATATCCACTGGGTTCACGGCCGTCTCTTGGCTGATCTCTGCAAAAACCAGAGAGTTAAAGGAGTTAAGGGTGATATAATCAGAATCAGCTGAAGGCTTTTAACTACAGTTTGTGGACTTCCTGATAGTAAAGAATTACAATAGTCCAGCCTTGAAGTACCAAATGCATGAACTAGTTTCTCAGCATCACCCCTGGACAGGAGATTTCTAATTTTTGCAATGTTCCACAGATGAAAGAAGGATATTCTAGAAACCTCTTGGATATGAGATTTAAATGACAGATCCTGATCAAAAACAACACCAAGATTTTTTACTTTATTATCTGAGATCAGTTTAACTCCATCCAAATGAAGTGATTGACTAATCAGCTTATTTTTCATCTGGTCAAAAGACTCTAACTTCTGTTTTGTCTGAATTCAAGAGGAAAACGTTAAGAGTCATCCAAGTTTTTTTTCTTTAATACATGCCTGACTTCTATGTAATGGGTTAGCTTCATCTGGATTCATAGACAGATATAGCTGGGTATCATCAGCATAACCAGGGTTTATACAGGAATGAATAACTCAAATGTAATGCTCTTTTAATGCTCTTAGAAACAATTGTAATGCCACCAACAGGTACCCGTCGACAGGCTGCAGCCAGGTCCCGAATTCCTCGTTTTCCAACCACTTTTGTTGAAATTTGCTTTTTTTCCCCCCATTCTCTAGTTTTTACTCCGCCTCAAGCTTCTTTTCTGAACATACAGCTTTCAGTTTCACGCAAATATATCGTGTCTGATGAAATTGTTTTTATAAACATTTTTTTTTTTAAATAAAGCATTTTAAATGCCACAATAAACACATTTAATGAATTTTAATGCCAATTAAGGCCTTAATTTAAAAAAATAATGATTTAATGACTTTTAATGATTTTTAACGACCTGCGGAAACCCTGATAACAGTGGAAATGAATCCCATGCTGTCTAAAAACTCTACCGACTGGGAGCATACATATAGTAAAGAGAATTAAACTGCTCAAGAATATCAGAAACAGCACAGTTAAATACGGTTTTAAAATTGGTGTGACTAACAGAAATATTGAAGATATTTTGATATCTGCAGTACTGCCAGCAGGTGGCGCCACATCTGAATGTGGAGAAGACAAAGGAGATTGTGGTGGACTTCAGGAGAGGGCCTGCCCAGCACGCTCCCCTGATCATCAACGGTGCTGAGGTGGAGCAGGTGAGCAGCACCAAGTTCCTGGGTGTCCACATCTCCCAAGACCTGTCCTGGGACACCAACACCACGTCCCTGGCCAAGAAAGCCCAACAGAGACTCTACTTCCTGCGGAAACTGAGGAGAGCAAGAGCCCCGTCCCCCATCTTGCACTCCTTCTACAAGGGCACCATCGAGAGCATCCTGACCAGCAGCATCACTGTGTGGTACGGAGCCTGCACTGCAGCCTGCCGCAAGACACTGCAGGGCACCGTGAAAGCAGCTGGAAAGATCCTCGGTGTCCCCCTCCCCTCTCTATGGACATTTATCACTCCTGCCACACCGGCAGAGCCACCAGGATCACAGGTGAGCCCACCCACCCCGCCCACAATGTCTTCACCTTGCTGCCGTCCGGGAGGAGGCTGCAGAGTCTCTGGGCCAGAACCAGTAGGCTCAGAGACAGCTTCTTCAAAGACAGGCAGTGAGGATGCTCAATTCCCTCCCTGCCCAGCCCCTCTTCGCCATTATGCACCGTGGGGTTGAGAGGACTGAAATTTCATCTGTGTTGTATGTTTACCATGTAGCACATTTGACAATAAAGTTGAGTTGATCTGCTTTTCTTTTGCTCATCAGCACAGAGCTGGAATTCTATTTAGGCTTAAAGAGGGCTGTTAAAACAGTATTAGGACGGACGCTTGGTGTATTATTTTATCAAGATCTTGGTCTTTTTGTTTGCATTCTATGCAAGAGTCTGGGTGTTACATCATCATTCCTCTCGAAGCGCATCCAAACCTTTGATAGAGATCTCCTTTCCCTGAAAATTATTCAGGTAACGCAGCAGAACGTCTTTCCAGTAACTTCTGTAGCTGATGAGGCCCAGGTCGGACAGCGGGCGCTCAGGCGAGCCCACCTTCTCCTCCACCTTGGATAACAGGTAGCCTGTTGGAAGACGAGGGAATGTTGATGCTTTCGTTTCTATATGTTTGCAGCAAGTTTACTATACCAGAGGTTACAAAAGAGGGGGGTAGTGAGATTGTTTTCACAATCATTGTGATGTGATCCCTGAGGTATATGGAGGACCAAAAAAAAAAATGTAACATTTATTTGTTAATCTATCCAGCCTATGATTCAAACATTAAATATGAGATAAATTACAATTAAATTAATTTATTAACCGCCCCATTAAATAATAACATGAAATACAATTAAATATAACAGATTCAATTATATGTGTTAAATATTAAATAATCCAAAAATCATTAAAATATTTTAAAATTAATAGAAATATTTAGCTTTATATGCATACATGAATATCTGTTTTATATATTGTTATTTTTGGGATATCAGGCTGAACGTTTTGGGAACCTCAGCTCTACCGTCCCTCCCTAACAGGCTGACATTTAGCATTTTAGAACGAGTCACAGCGCAGAGGAGGAGATGAAGATGAGCGGCTGCACTCACTGAAGTCAATGAGCATCTTTCCGTAGCCTTGCCTCATGTACTGTGGCATTGTGAGGATGCAGGAAACATTATAGTTCAAGAAGGAGTTCTTCTCCTGTGGAAGGAGAAGAAACAATCATCACCTGGGCGCCGGCTTACGGCGCTGCACTGGAAAAAAACTAAACGATAAGGAGCAGCAGGATTCTGTTACCTTAGAGAAGTAACCCACTAGGTGGCATCCTGTGTTGTCGGCTTCTGTCATGACGTAGAAGAGGAAGGGCTCCACGTCGTAATACAGTGTTTTGTGGTCCAGGAATAGTTTTGCTAGCAGACACAAGTTCTGACAGTAAATCTGGTTGTGGAGAAAGCAAAACAGATCATGAAATAGTTTCATTTTGTAGGAGTGGAACGATTCACAAAATCCACGGTTCGGTTCGATTCACGGTTTCTGGTCACGGTTTTCGGTTCGGTTCGATACGTGTTGATTGTTACACCGAAATCCCATAAAAATTTATGGAATTAATGAAAAAATCCCCCAAAAAGTAATGGATTGTAATTATTTTAAATGATCCGCGGAAACCCTGGATCATTTCCGTATGTTTTGCTGCTTTGAATTTAATCATCTCACGCATGCTCTCTACCATCTCCAAGGAACTCAGAGGGGAGCAGACGAAGCCACAGTGGAGGCTGCAGGCTTTGCTCTGAGCAGCCGGTCTGGAGTGCAACGGGGCGCAGCGGGGGTTGCTGATGGAGTATGTGGGATTTCAGGGTTAGCATGACATGTTGGTCATGTTGCTGTTAGCATAAACAAAACGTGTTGCACAATGCTCGCACACTGTTGCCATCCCTATCATTTTGACTAGAAAACCAGGCATGTGGCTACGATGCATAGTTTAAATTTAATCTATTTTGTATTTTCGAGCAGATTCTCCAGTCCTGCGAGGACTTTCCGATCGGGCTGACTTTAAGCCTGATCGTGCATTGTATAGTGTTCAGGGGGTAGCGCAGGGCAATAAGCCTCTCACGACCAATTCAATTCATTTTATTTCTATAGCACCACTTCACAACATGTCATCTCAAGGCACTTTACAATTTAACCAGATCATACAGTCAAATTGATTCAAAGTTTTCTATCTCACTGTATGACGAAACCCTGCATTTTCGTCGTACAGTGTGAGCTGTAGCGGCGTGCAACGATTGAAAAAAATCGTACAGTGCATTCCCGGCTTTATTAGATTGCAGAACAGGATATTTATGCTTGAAAGGGTTGAACAATAATAAGTATATAATCAGTAACAAATTTAGTTATTAATTAATCGTTTAATGGAGTATACAGACTAATACACCCAATTAGCTGAAAGAGCAACCCACTCAGAGCAGTAACTGTGCCCGAATGGAAAAATATAGAAAAGTTTTGCCATTTAAGGCGCTTAGAGGCAAAGTTTTAGTTTCACCTGGTTTAATTTCTGTAGAAACTATCCTTTTCATGGAAATGTCTCGACTTTTTAATTAAAATAGATTAAAAGAAATTATTTTTCCTTTTCAAAATTCAAATGCATTTTTTCATTATACTTAAATGGAAAGTGTTTAATAAATCCAGGTTTTTCTTAGCAGTCAAGTACAGCTTTAATAAATGCATATTCTGCAAAACCTAATGACATCACATCAAAAATAGAATACTCCTCATAGCTCAGGTTTAGCAGTTCATAAATACGATGCGAGATGCCCTTTTTTAAAACATTAACTGAAAAAGACAAACTTGTCAGGGTAAAGCTATGTTCACACCGAGCGCGAATGTCGCAGCTGGAGCAAAGGATTCCAGTCTAATCTCTATGCAGAGGGCGGATCTAGAGCGAAGCAAAGCAGAGCGGGTCAAAGGTCGCGGATTTAGGGTCGCAAACGGCATGATTTTAGCAAAGTTGGAAAGATTTGATCGCAGCCTTTCCTGCGAATGAAGCAGAAAAACAGAAACTTTTGTTTACATTCATGTGGAGAAAGCCAGCAGGACCAGGGAGTAGACTTTTATGTTTTCATTTAATTTTTTGGAATAAAGAGGTGTGATCTCATAAAGTAAATTTTTCCCAGGTATAGAGCGGCAGAGGCTGAAGATTGACATCTGCAGATGTGAGGCTGAATGCACCTCAGGCCTGTCAGACACAGCGGACAGATCATTTCATTTATTAAATTGATTATTGTTTTATTTATTTTCTTTTTTGTTTATTAAATGTTAAAAATATAGCTTTGTTTTGGTCGTGAAAAAACATTTCGATGAATCTGCTTTTCATGAAGAACTAAAAAAGCATCAAGGTTAGCTGAAGGCTGAAGTCCGTAAAAAGAATATATAAACTTTGACAAAGAGCTGAATAATTCACTCTGATTTTTGGAGGAAGGCTTTTTTGAAAATCGTGGTTTTGAAATTTCAAAACAATTTTTTTTTTCATTCATTTTTTTCAGGGACACCTGTCTAAAATAAAATGTTAAAGTTTCATATTTCTTGGAGATGAAAATGAAAAAAGATGACCCCAAAGATCAATCGATGACTAAATGAATGGTTAGCAGCCCTGAATGTGAAAAGGTTTACCTTGTTCTTCTTTCCGTCCACCTCAAAGACAGAGATGTTCCCCTTCCTGTAGATCTCATCACCTGGTGGATGCTTCCACACACATTTGGCCTTAAACACAGAACAGGAAAAATATTCTGCTTTAAAACCCCAAGATGTAAGGAAGGGGGCAAGTGCCACAGTACAATAAATGAAATAATAAATAATTATAAATAAATAATTAGGGATGCACGATATAATCGGCCCCCTATCTGTATCGGCCTTAAAGGAATAGTACACCCAAAACATGATTAGCCTTCATTTTCTACTCACCCCCATGCTGAACAACACTACTTTTGTACTTTTTTGATATCTCAAATGCATCTGGAGATCTGGGAGGCTTCTTGCTGTCTGCTGACATTCAAATAATGGAGGTCTATGGTGACCGAG